CATCGATATCGTTGTAGATACCCACCACGTTGTAATTTAACTTGCAGATAAAATTTAAATACTGAGTCACTGAAGTTTAATGTAAGACTGGATTAATGAATTACAAAAATATATCAAGCATTTAGGAAAATTAAAAGGCAGAAAGAAATTAATGACAAAAATAAGCGATAACTATGTTTTATTAGGCACTTTTATTCTACAAAATAATATTCGAAACACAGTAACGTAGTTAAGTATAAATTTAACATAAATAAGATAAAATAGTGAATGTGTACAATGCCTTTTAGAATTACTAAAATATTAATAGTTATTTCAATGTGTCGAACTGAAATAGTAACTAATTTTGTCTCTTATCTTCTACTTTTAGGCCGATTTCTAATTTTGTAAAGTCAAGTCCTACTTTCTATAAATGAGTAACATTTATTTTCTTTTTTGCCTCTATTTATAGACATATTATAGTGTGTCACTGATAAAAAAACTATCTATTATCCGGTAGGTATACCTATAAAATTCTTGCGTTACTGATACCTGAGTGAAGAAGAGTTAGTACCTAAGTACCTAAATATTGCACAATCGTAATCGTAACTAGTATAGTCGGAATAAAATTAGCATAGTTATTTTCCTAAGGTAATTTTAAGGTGTAAATATTGTAGTGTTAAGTTATATTTTAATCATAGGTACTTTTATTTAGTTTGTATATATTATTATATTTATTATAAGTAACATAATTATTATCTTTATTGGTTATCTCAGTGCCCATCCCATCATAATATAAATGTTGTTTTTTCTTAATGCCCACAGTACTAGGATTTTATACCCATACGGAGTAGCGAGCAAAAACTAGTTGCGCTTGCAAATAAATGAATCACAGAGTAGCGTGGCAACCCTATCAATAAAATCTCAGTGTCAACATACCAGCCGCGAGGGTTGCCGCGCCCCGAGGGATGCGTTTGTTTTTATTAAAACTTTTTATTTTGCAATAATGGCACTAGGATAGATGGTTTGCAAACAACTAAACTATACAGTGCAAGGCTACCTCAATGCAATCTTTTACTGTTTGATAAAAATTCAAAACCACAATAAGTCGTTTGAAGGATATAATTGTAACAAGTCAGTCACATAATAGGGTAGGTGCCTAATTTTTATTTTAATGTCCGTCTGGTAGATTTTATTAAATCCTGACACGTATTTTTTATTTTATTACAGAAACGAATACTTTCGACGATATATTGATTTGAAATGTCGCGTGACGTCACTTCTATGTACATTTTATACGTAGAAATGACGTTTTAGCCCCCACTCCTAAACTTTAATTCGTTTTATCTAAGTATTGTTTTATTATTATACGACAAAATAAAAAAAATACGTGTCATTAGACACGTATTTTATCATTACCTTACCTACTTACGGACTAATTATATTTTTAATTTTCATACCCTGTTACGTTTGTTATTATTTTCGTAATATAGGCACTCACCTACTTATACATTTATTTATGTTCTCATTAGGTACCACCACTACCACATAACCATCTGAAGCAACTGCTACTTACTGAAAATTTCGGAAATCGGTATTGTCAATCACATTTGCCTAACCTGGGGGAAATCTAATCCTTTATCGACAATGATGTTAAATACCCTTTGGTCTATTAGTGGGGTAACAGCATATATGACAACAATACCCTTCCTACAGTCTACATGATATATGACTGCACTGTTGGTCCGGTGGCTAGGTAACCGCCTGCCGCGCATCGTGTCGCAAGTCGATTTCCGCACGAAACAACTCTTTGTGCAATCTACAAATAGTTGTTTCGGGTCTGGGTGTCATGTGTATGTGAACTTGTATGTTTGTAAACACCCCACGACACAGGAGAAAAGCCTAGTGTGGGGCAACGTTCTAGAAAAAAATAAAATAAAAAAAGACATTCTATTCTTGAAGAACAAAAGGCGTGAAGTTAAAAATTATCCTTACGATGACGATTAAAAACGTCAGCGTTTCGTAATACCTACAGTACCTACATACATAAGAGATTAGTATTAGTATACAATTCACGACGGTAATGCATGAAGTTCACACATGTATTAAATACTTACTACACCTACTTACCCAAGTACTACATACTTGTAGGTAATGCCTAATTATAAATGTGAAAATTTTAATGTATGTTTGTTCATCGAATACGCCAAAATGAATTTGGTGGTGTGGTATTATAGTCTAGCACAATGTGGTACTTTAGTAACGGTAAATGTACGGTACCATGGGGATATTTTTATAATATTTGTTTATGTTATAACTTTCGTGAGACATACTAATAGGAATCCTATTCGCAAATGTTTTAAATATTTCATTGAAGCAGAAGGATAATGCGCTATTTGGCTTTGTCTTGTCATTTTGAACATGACGTCATTGACATGTAATTTTTTTTTTTTCAAACCTATCGAATGGAACATCATGGCCCTCTACGGCGCCCCTGTTTGGGCGCCGAACTTGTTGCGGCGTCCTGCTCGGACGCTGCTCATGTCACAGAGGGTCATGGCGATCCGAATGATCCGCGGATACCGCACGATCTCCGGGGAGTCGGCGAACCTCCTTGCCGGATCACCGCCGTGGGATCTGGAGGCGAAGGTGCTCGCGCGCGTGTATCGCATGCGCGCGGAGGCACGTCGCCGGGGCGAAACTCCTCTGCCGCGCCAGATAAGTGCGTGGCGGGATGAGCTCCGGCGCGATCTCATGGCGGAATGGCAGCAACGACTGTCGCAACCGAGGGCTGGGCTCGCTGCCATTGCAGCGGTAAGACCCCTCTTTGAGGAGTGGCTTGAGAGACGCTACGGCGTCCTCACCTACCGCCTGACGCAGGTCCTCACCGGACATTGAAGTTTCGGGAGGTACCTGTGTCTGATGGGGCGGGAGGAAACGCCTGGGTGTTATCACTGCGAGGACCGCCCTGAGGACACGGTGGAACACACCGTAGCGGAATGCCCTGCGTGGGCTGAGCACCGCCGTGCCCTCAGGGAAGTGATCGGCGATGGCGACCTCTCGCGTCCGGGCCTAGTGCAGGCCATGATGCGGAGCGAGGGGGACTGGGATGCCGTCTCCTCCTTTTGCGAAGCAGTCATGCTAGCTAAGGAGGAGGCGGGACGCGTGAGACAGCGAAACGCTGCCTCCTCGCAACCCAGCCATCGCGAAGGACACACCGGGCGTCGGGGATCGCGGGACGATCTCCGGCCACCGTAAGCACGGGCCTGCGGACGGCGAGCATGGGTGGCTCCCCGTCCGACCAGAAACAGACCCGAGCGTACGGCGCGTCGCGTTCCGCGCGCGCCTCAAAGAGCCATCAGACCACCACAGATGGGGCCCAATAGGACCGATGCCGATTCGGAGTCGCGGAGAACCTAACGGGTAACCGGGGCTCTGGCTCGACGTGCAGGAGAAGGAACGGGGTGGTTTTTAGTCAGTAAGAGTCTGACACTCCCTTCCGCCTCACCCAGGCGGGAGCAGTCATTCGATGATTTTCCCCCCTTAAAAAAAAAATCGAATGGAACATTTCTCGTAGAAAATCTTTTTCGTTTGCACAGAAAGAGAAAATGATGCGTTGCCTTCCTTCTCATTTTAGGCCTGACGTCATTGATGTGTCATTTGTTTTTTTCACAACCCTCTATGGTTCGACACTGGCAGTATAGTCGACAACACCGTTTTGGAGACTCGGTTGCCAAAGAAAAAAAAACTCTCTATGAATACTAAATTTCTTAAAAGACAATTTTCATAATCTTCAGTAGAACGAAAACTAGCCGTTGCTATTCGTTTCTTATTTGGAAAGTAAATGCCATTTTTCAACCAAGACAGAGTCGCGGGCAAAGCTAGTTAAGTACACAATAAACATGAATGATTTGCACCTCTTAAACGACAATCAGCAATTACAAGCTCTTGAAATTATCTGGATTTAATTATAATAAGTAGTTGATATACAAAGTAGGCGTGTATGTATGCGTGATGACGATTTAAGGAGGAGAAGGATAAATCGGCATTAATAAAAAAATGTAAAACCACTATAAATAATGAACAACAAAAAAGTAATAAGGTATCTATAACATAACTGCACCCACTTTTCTCAGTATAATGATCAACTAAAAAGTAATAAGCAGCCAAATGCCATTTAGCGCTTGTCTACATGTAGAATAGAAAACCAAATTATATGGAATTGACGTTAAATTTTGACACTTGTCAGTGTCATCCCCATACATTTTGATTTCTACTCTCTCTGCAGTAGACAAGCGCTAAAGTGGCGTTTGGCTAAAGACACTGGTATCTATAACATATTTGAATACACCCATTTTTCGACAGTTATTGTTGTCTGATAGAGCCTCTTTCTTCCAAATAGGTTAAAGCTGGGCTAACCCAAGGATCAAACTAAACTTTTTCAAATTTAGTTTAGGATGATATTTCCATCATCCTCAGAAGTTGCATTGTCTCATATGAGTTGTATTATAATTTGATCAGAATTAGGCAAATCAAAGGCAGAATGTCATTACGACAGACAAAGGAAAATTTAAAAAATCAAATAAAAACAGAATATTAAGAATTTTATCTATCCTTATCAAAGGAGTATTTAATTCCTCGTGTGTGCTATCGTATTATTATACCTGAACAAAGTTTTATGGGCGGCAATTACTATTTATTTGTATGATAATGTAAACAGTCGTGTAGTTCCTCCGGTTAGCAGTTACACAGACGTGAGTGATTTTTTTTAAATTACATATTATATCCAGTACTGAAAATATTTATTTAACTGCACAAAATAAAATGTTGATGAATTAAATTAACAAGTACTTAGGTAGTTATTTACCAATCCTATCAATTGTTATACTAATGACTTCTGTGTACTGATACATTTTATTTTACATACCTCATAGGAAGTTTTTACATTTACCTCTCCACTTTTCTGCAATATAAAATTTAAGCAAACTGATTACCTGTAAATTAACTTTTCAGGAATAACCACCATGGAGCGACGTACGGTCTTACTGTCGGTGTTGTTACTTATCGGCCTCGCTGGTTTGAGCGCTGCTATTGCAATTGGCATCATCCGAAGCAGACCTGATACACCTGATCCGAGTGATAATGGTGAAAAGGAGTACGATAGTGAGTTATGTCATCCACTGCTGATTGCACACCGCGGTGCCAGCGGCTACGTCCCGGAGCACACGTTAGGAGCGTACGCACTCGCAGCCTCCATGGGCTCCGACTACCTCGAACCAGACGTCGTGATGACCAAAGATGGCCACATCATCGCACGACATGATAATGAGCTCGGTCTGACTACTAATGTGGAAGACCACCCCGAGTTCGCCAGTCGCTACAGAACACAAATGGTAGACGGCAGGCAAGTCAGTGGGTGGTTCACTGAAGACTTCACTCTCGCAGAAATCAAAACTCTTCGTGCAATTGAACGCATACCCAACATAAGACCTGGTAATACTCGAATGGACGGAGCCTTTGATGTCCCTACTATGCAAGAGATTATTGACTTGACCAAAGGTCTAGAAATCAGTTTGAAACGACCTATCGGTATATATCCTGAAATAAAACATGCCACTCATTTCCAACGCCTGGGGCTGGCGATGGAACGACCTTTGGTAGATTTGCTGCACAGGAATGGTTACACCCGACCTGAATCACTTATTTACATTCAATCTTTCGAAGTCAGCAATTTGAAGGAATTGAAAAGTATGACAGACCTGCGCTTGATTCAACTCTTTGCAGGTAACTCTGCTCTACCTCCGTTTGATCAAGCGGTGCAAGAGACAGGTCTCACGTACGCTCAGATGGCTACTCCTGAAGGGTTACGGGAGATTGCTACTTACGCTTATGCGGTTGGACCTGACAAGGGGTATATTATTCCCCGCAATGCCAATCAGACACTGGGTACACCAACAAGTTTTGTGCAGGATGCTCATGCAGCTGGTCTCAAAGTGCATCCGTACACGTTCCGATCAGAAAACGTATACCTACCAGCAGAGTTCCGGAGTGCAGACCCGTCACAGGCCGCTCTCGGAGATGCAGCTGGCGAATATCGAGCATTCCTTGCTACAGGAATAGATGGATTATTCACAGATCATCCGGATGATTTTGCAAACGTTCGAGGTAGTTGTGCTTAACTACATTCAACTGTTTGTAGATATAAATAAAGAAAAATATGGGATCTCCAAAGTCAGTTTACAGATAAAATCTTCAATAAGAATGATCGGTAATGATAGAAGATAGAAGAAAAATAATTTATAATCATATACTGCCCTTTACTGCACAGTTTTCTATGTGTCTTTCTATTTTATATACCTTAGTACTTAGTACCGTGAGATAGCGAATTGAACATTTTTCTAGACTTAAGGCACATGTTATATAGTTACAACAATATTGTGTTAATTTATTCTAGTCGAATTAGAATAGGTGTGTTATTTTATCTTATTAAGAAAATAATAAAATATTATATCTAAGCACTTAATTCCTTTAATCTCCTTGAATCCGTTTGGAAATAGACAACATATCAAATACCTACGCTATCAGTCACAGGAAACACACTGTGGCATGATCATGAAATCATGAAGTTGTTTAGTTGTCAACTTCTGTTGTAGGTGTCGCATATATAATTCTACAATTTGAGTCCTTTCCTTTTTTAAAATAAGAGGTTCTTAACCTTAAGTTTCAGTACTAATAATTTTTATCTACCCAATGAACACATTTTAAATTGCATCACAATCTGATGCAGCATCTTTTTACCCCTGCAAATGCTAGAGAGATAACAAGGTGTCTTAAGCAGATCTTGGTTCTTTTATGCAATCCGAATTAGCATGTATAGTACACGCCTACATTCTATTACGTATTCATATACATATATCTACAAGGTTTTAAGATAAAACCACAGACATGATCGTCACGCGACTGATCGTGAAAATGAGCTCACGACGTTTAAATATTATGATTGACGGTTGCGATAAAAAATATTTATTACTAATAACACCATCTTAAATTATGAATATTTACGTGTTGTATTGTCATTTAAACAAGTAAGACGAATATTGTTAACTCTGAGACTGCAAAGCAAGTGACTACTAGGAACTGACTATGCGTGCATTGGGGGAAAATCATCCAAAGACTTCTCTCGCCTTGGGTGAGGCGAGAGGGAGTGTAAATAAATAAATACTGTTAAAAACAACTCGGTTCCAACTCCTGCTTTGAACAGAAACCCCGGTACACCGTCAGGTTGTCCGCAGCTCCGGATATTTTCAACGTCTATGGAAACGATCATCATGTTATTTTTACCTTTATCTCAAGGTACTTAGGTATGCGGTTGTCTTCTTTCTTCTTCTTCTTGTGATCCCTATCACACGCCAACCTACAATTTGTAGGTTGGCATATAAACGAAAAAGATGTTTGTAGGCTACAAAACTCTTTTTCGTTTATATGGTTACTCAATCTATACCCATATTTTCTTTGAATGTACTCTTTCTTTTTAACCATCCACAATTAAAATCAGCATCTGTTTTGAAGCATGTCGGGAGTAATAATGCTCTTATAATAAATATATATATAGAGGAATTTTAAAATATTCATTACGGTTCCAATTTTTTTTCTGATTATAATTCAAGAAGGTACTTATTTGGCTAGAATATTACATATATAGCGATCTAAGTAGTATATCCGAATGAATTACAAAATAGGCTGGTCGCCCTATTGCTATATCTCTGAAAACGATATGATATGAATGTTTCTCAATTTTATCTTAAGTGTGGGGTAAACTCGTTCAAAGTACAGTCATTATAAAAAATGCACTAGATATAGATGATCATCGTTGTGACTGAGTACGAACGTAAAAATTAAAGAGAATGCATAAGTAGGCCACTTGAATAGTAGATGATGCCGTAAATAGACTTTTAAAATACAAAGAAAAACTTATCACCAAAAAAAAAACTAAAACTTAACGCCAGAATTTGTAATAAATATGCAAAATGCGTACCTAAATAATCAGCTGCGATGTCCAATTTCAAGAGAGAACAAATTACGTCATCGGAGTCATAAAAGTAATAAGTTATTGTTTTATACGTTCAACCCAATTGCAGACTTAAATAAGCGGAGATACGTCTGAAAATGGAAAATGTTATCGTAATGTATTTACTTAACTACGTATATGTAAGTACCTACATAATAGTGGGGGTTAAACCTTTATATACTTTTATTTGCTTTGTTATAAAAAGAAACATTGTGTGATACAGAATGTGTTGATCTAGTGAGCATCTGATTAAAATTTGGCCTTTAAACGATCGTGTTGTAACCATTTTACATCATTAACCAGTTACTTATATCAAGTTTATAACGATCACTCGTAAGGTTCGCAGGTCTCCAAATGTTCAGCAAGACTTCCTCTTATATTTTCCTCATGTATGTTACTTGATGTCGTCGCGAGGCTCTATATAAATATTCGTTTAGTTGAAGTGATGTTTTAGTGCCTGCCTGTACATACTTTGTGTTGTCGCCACTTGTCACCAAGACCAACTATCTGCGAATGTATCGTAGATGTTGAGGAGTTACGACTGACTTACATGTGAGTATTATATTTTGTTTATGTATTTTTATTATTAAAGAATTAAATATTTTAATGTATTGATTAGATTTTCATGTTAATAGAGTGTTTATAATATGAATAACGTTTACATTACGAATCAAATCATGTACTAATTACTGAGTATCATAAGTGTCTAGGAAGACAAGATAATAAAACCAGTTTGTTCATTGTTGTCAATGTCGATCAAGTGCCTATTTATGATAATATTTTTGTTGAAGTAACAAAAAGTGGCTTTCTAACTTTGTTTAGTTATTTTTAACACAAGTGTATAAGTTTAGGGAATGTCATTGAACTCATGATTATTTACTTTAACCTATTTTGATGTTCTACCAGTTAATAAACTAATAATTAAGTATAATACTTAGGTACATAACATTATGTACTTTAATAATAATTATCTTTAAATCGCCTTGTTTACAGGAAAATGTTCCTGAATCGAAGAATATGGATTGTGTTGTGTACTTTGGGAGTTGCGTTTGGTGTACCAACAGAAATAGTAGAATTAACAGACAGTGTTAATTCCACGTTAGAATATGACAGCCAATTTTGTCACCCACTGGTAATTGGCCACCGCGGCGCCAGTGGGTACGCTCCAGAACACACCCTCGGCTCATACGCCCTCGCGGCTCTCATGGGAGCTGACTACGTAGAACCAGATCTAGTCATTACCAAAGACAGGCGACTAGTCGCTAGACATGACAATGAATTAGGTTTAACCACTGATGTGTCCTTACATCCAGAGTTCGCTGATCGTTACACCAATAAAACAATAGATGGCAAAGAAATGAGCGGTTGGTTTACTGAAGATTTCACTCTTGCAGAATTAAAAACATTACGTGCCGTAGAGCGCATTCCAAATATCAGACCAGGAAACTCCCGAATGGATGGCGCCTTCCAGATACCAACATTTCAAGAGATTATTGAACTAATCAAAGGCTTAGAATCCAGTCAAAATAGAATTATTGGACTATACCCAGAAATTAAACACAGCACTTATTTCGAGTCTCTCGGATTACCAATGGAACAGTTAGTAGTGGATATCCTTCACAGTTACGGTTACCAAGGATCCCACGCGCCGGTCTACATCCAGTCATTTGAAATAAATAACTTAAAACGACTGAAGCGAATGACTGGTATTCGTCTTCTACAGCTTTACGACAGTCCAGACATGACGCCTTTCGACCAGATAGAGAAAGAGAACGCACCAACGTACGCTGATATGGCTACACCAGAGGGACTTGCAGAAGTTGCGAAGTACGCTTATGCGGTAGGACCAGATAAGAGCTACATAATACCTCGTGACGCAGAAAATAATCTGGGGGAACCTACAACTTTTGTACACGATGCTCACGAGGCAGGCTTGAAAGTGCACCCATATACGTTCCGTGCAGAGAACGCGTTCTTACCAACAAATTGTCGTAACAAAATGTACCCAAACTTGTCATCAGCTCTGGGTAATTTAGCCGCTGAGATCACGGCTTATTTCAATGCAGGAATCGATGGTCTCTTCAGTGACCAACCGGATATACCCGTGCGTATACGAACCGGTTGCTTAAGAAACATTAATTGAATGACTTATTAGATTAAGTAGTTGCATGTACTTACGTACAAATAGCTTTCAGTTCCTGTTTGCATAATCAACTTTGTGTGTAATTTAACCAAAGTACCTAAGTACAAGACTTTGCTATTAAATAGAAATTCGTAAAGGTTAACTCATGAGGGAAAAAATAGTGATTACGTTTATCCCTGTATCACATTTACTGTCAATAATAGAATATGTGTGATAGTCGAAGATATCATAAAAGTAGGTACCAATTAACCTATGCATATCGCATTGACGCAGATCAATGATTCTAAGAGAAACATAATTTCTTCTTGATTGATTTAATTAGTTAAGGTAGAGGTTACAATACGACGAATACTTTGTTGGTGCCTCTGTGACATAGAGATAGATACAAAGGTGCATTATGTGATCGTCATACTAAATACCTATATGATTTGCGCTTTGTGAAGTTGATGGTTAATAAAACCTAGGTGACTAGGCAGTCAGTTAATCACTGGCGACCTACAATAAGTACAAATTACCTTAAGTTAAGCTAACGTATGAACAAGAAAAATAAAAATAAAACTGAAATTCCCGTTGACTAATCTTACGTTTACAATAAACCTACATTTATATTTCCGTTGTAAACGGGAATGGTCAACAGGTAAAACGCAAATATTGTTATCCGTATTATTTACCTATATTAATTAGATTAACAGTAACTTTATTAATTTAATTAATGAAATGATAGGAAATAAGTTTAGGTATACTAATATCGATGTTTTTGTATGTTAATTACATAATATTTACAAGGTATTGTTTTCATTGAACTTATTATTTCCTTAAACAAACGAACGAACGAAGAATAACTTTTTTTCTGCATATAAATATAAGCAACACAACACAACATCACGCAATTCCAGACTCCGTGCTACTACTGAGAATTAAATGAAGAAAAAACCCAGTAATACTTTGCCCGACCCGGGAATCGAACCCGAGACCCCTTGCCCGGCAGTCGCACTTACGACCACTGGGCCAACGAGGCAGTCAGGAAATATACCTAAGTATAATCAGGAATTAATCACATTACCTACTTGGATACTGGTATGTAATAAATAGTCGTTTATTAGCAAAAACAGAGGTACTTATAAAATGTGATTGGAGCCTCCTATAAAAAAAGATATGCCTGTGGTGGGGAATACGTACTGGACTGTCACATCACATCCGTTGACTTTTTAGGGGACACAATTTTATTATCGAATGAATCCTGCCGCCACACGTAAGACGAGAGAGCACTCTTACTGTCTAAAAGCCAACGCGTTATTAGGAGTAGCCTACTTCGAGTCGTACCCACGGTAACAGATTGTCCTTTTCCAGCAGCCAGACGATTGTTTCTAAGTAATCTTATATTAGAATTTTCTCTTGAATTGTGAGTTCGTTTACAAACATATAATTTCACATACACGTCACACCCAGATCCGGAGCAATAATTTGTGGAACAGATAAAGAATTTTTCCGTACGGGAATCGAACCCGTGACACGTTGCACAGCAGCCGGTTGCTTACGTTGCTGTATGTCAAAAGATCGTTCGTGCTTCCAATTTGTGTCAAAATGCTCTAAATTTCGATAGCAATACGATACGATTACTAGGTATACGATAGTTGTCAAAATCATTATTTGGTGCTTGCGACATTTAGTTCCTTTTACGCACGGTAAGGGCGCTGTTCAAGTCTCTAGAAAATGTTTTCGAAAGCGATACGAATACTTTCTCGATAATTTTCGTGCTTGGCACTCTGGTTGCTATACCGCCGCTATAGGTATCATAGTAGAGAGAAGCCTTTTTATTATATTTTTTTTTTTTTTTTGTAAGGGAAAATCATCCGATGATTCCTCCCGCTCTGGATGAAGTGAGAGGGAGTGTCAGACTCTCACTGTCTAAAACCATCCCGTTTTAAGTCCTGCCTCTAACCGGAACCCCAGTAACCCTTGCGCTTCGTCGCAACCCCGGAGTAGACAATAGTCTAACTCGAAAGTTATTTTTTTGATTAAGACTAGAGTCCCGACATGGATAACGACAAAATTCGGTCGCTAAATGAAAATATATACTTAGTTAAAAATTACTTCAACATAATTACACGGATAAAAGTGTAAATTATAAATGAATCACTTTCATTGAAATGTCATAAATATGAATTTTGTATAAAAAGAAAATAACAAGTTATTAATTAACCAAGGAACTGGAAAAAAAGACGGACATAGCCTCTTAAAACATCGACTGTGGCACCTGGCTACTATAGACATAGAATAAGTATACCGCCGACATTTCTAAGCGGCATTACCCTCGTCCACCATTTTTCAACGTCCTTGTTAATAACATTATAGTCCTGCTTTACTGATCTCTTCACTCTTGTCGTGTGCCCTGATGTGACTGGTCAAGTGGCCAGCCCAGACCGAATTTAGTTTTAAAAATCCGATCACAACTAAGTAGTAAAGCTGACCGGACGTAGAGTTGTAAAATTGTATTATTTTACCAAATGGCATACTCATTTCTCAAGATGTTGGAAAAATCAAATATTTCGGTAAATATATCATGTATAAAGTCGAGCAGTTAAATGTCGTTATGTTACGAAGTAACGATTGATTTTTATCGTTATCACAGTCAAGACTGCTGGCCTCTATACTCTATGACATAGACCTTGGAGGCGTTGTCAACCATCGGACTTGATATTTTGTCTGTGTTTCGGACATCTCTATTTACAAAAGCTGGCAGTCAGCTGAATGTGACGCTGTCAGCTGTCAATATCAAAAGGGCTATGAATTTGACGTCTGTTTAATTACTTCAATTTTTCAGTGAAAAAGCACGTACGGAGCATAAATACTAATATAAAATTAGCAATGTAAACAGAAAAATATTATAGTAAACTCAGAAATGATAAGGCAATATCTGAAATTGAGAAAGACATTTACAGTCTTTGGCATACTTTTTTTTCGTAAGTACAGCACAATCTGTTTATAAGTTTACACGGACACTCGCCGCTCGTTTAAAATTGTTTTCTTTCCAATTGTTTTGTTTGCAATGGCTTACTTGAATGTTTTACACGCACAAGCCTATTATAAATCAAGGTCTTGAGAAGGCTATAAAATTAATGTAGGACTACTGAACATTCTTTTTTGGTCGCGTCGTAATTTTTTCACTCGTCACTTCGTCAGTGATCGATGGCGAGTCAAAGAGGCCATCAACAATATTTTGCTTAACAATGCCGTTTTCTGTTTATTATGGTGAATATGAAAAACTCATGAGACAATACATTATGACTCAACAGTTATAATGCTAATTTTTAGTTTAGTTCTCATCTTATTGGACTTGCTGGCTATTAAATCATTATATTCTACCTATTTGTTGAGTTAATATTCGGCAGAAAATTTTCCATAGCTTCATAAACTACTGTAACGTTTCATTTAATTTTCTACAAATTAAAACAACTATTTTTAACATGTATTTTCATTTTTAGTGCTCCTTCTATTTTTGATATTTTCAAAAGAAAACAGTGGAGTGAACCAAAGAAGCTTGGATGACGATATCCCAAAAATAAATGTACAATTTAATGATCTGCCAAAGGCTGACAAATTTACAAAACTAAATATAATGGAGGAGAAAATAGTGGACAGTAACAATGAGGACACAAAGCGTGAGCTGAAGGAAGCGCGGTCAAGAATAGACCAGTTAGAAAAAAAAATTGCTATTTTAGAGGGCAGAGTGCCGCAGAAGTATCCAGACGTCAAATTTCTGGGCTATAAGGAGAGAAAGAGGATATTGGTAAGATATCTATTACTATCTTTTTAAAAACAATTTAAATATTCTTCATATGTTATTTGTATAGCTGGAAGTTCTACTACTGCACAAGTTAAAAATTTAATCCGACTCGACCGTAGAGTCCACATAAATTTTATTCCAGCGCCGTAGACTCGCCCGTCGAGTTCAATGTGTTTGCTATTTTTTTCCAAAATGCATGTGTATTTTCTGGTTAAAATAATACTGAAGACCGGCCGGGTGTGCAGACCCAGTTTATAGTCGAGTCGGTGGCACCGAACGTGTTAAATGATCTATATATCACTGGCAAGAAGTCATGCCATAGATATACATAGATAAAAAGACCTTAGTAACTGCTCAATGATTCTTAGTAATAGTTAGCTAATGTTTGTTTAAGAAAATAAACAACCTTATTTTTTATCTGCTGCTGATAATAAAAAAAACATTAGGTAGTTAACTAGTTTATAAACATTTTACTTAACCAGTAGCCCTTGTCTTTATTCATCAATGTCACTGTAGTGTAGGTACTTTATTTATCTTAGAATAACGAATTCCGTGGAAACCATGTAAAAAGTTTAGAAGCAGGTATTGATAATGTATTTTAAGTATTTTTAATTTGAATAGACTACTGTAACATATTTTAAAGAAAACTATTATAGATAAAATAATTATGTGTGCGGAATATCATTTATAATTATTTTCAATTATGTATAATTTTGAGATTTCACCCGTACAATTGTACCAAAATGTAGTCAAATAACATAAGAACATAAACAATTTAGAGAAGATAATGTTGATTATCTTGGTTATCTACATCTCACTAATACAAGAGCAATAATTATTAATTCTTTCTTATGTCCTAAAATAAGATTTTCTCTGTAACTTCAAAATTGATTTCAACCAAATGTTCTCACGTAATAAAAACGTTCATCTTAGAGGCCACCACCTTAAGCTGTGTAAAAGCTTATCGAAAAATATTCCTCACAGACACTTTCTGAGTAATCGCGTGGTCGGAGCATGGAACAAGCTGCCAGAATATGTAATCGCTGCACAGAATGTTAACCAGTTCAAAAACAGGCTTGACAGATACACAACATTGAATAACCACTGATAGAAAAATACGATACAGGCATTTATCAGTTGTTTCAACTGCCTGTCTGAATTAAATAAATAATAATAATAATAATAAGCCCGCAGGGCACCTTGAGGCGAGGTGACGGGCATTAGCGATCCCGCGGGCTACCATCATCCCGAGTGCTCCAGGGAGAAGTCACCGTTCCTTCTTCTCCGGCTTGCCTTAATTGGCTGGCTGGAGTGAAAGATGACAAGGAACAGGTCTCCCACCTCTGGCTTGCCTTCATTGGCCGTCCAGAGTGGAGTCGCGAGAGCAGTAATCCTGCTCGGAGGGTAAGAAACTATTCGTAAGTCGCGAGTGGGCCAGGGATGCAGGAGGCTTCGGCTGGAGCAGATGATCTGAGTAGAAAGCGGTGGTAGTTTCTTAACCTTTCAGCCACTCACATTCTCGTTGCCCCTCTGTTGCTATATCTAGCAACCATTCCCGGGGCCCGGTCGGTGAGTTGGCGAGTCTCCGCCTGCCATTTTTACGTGTAAAAATTACATTGTTTCGGCAGGTGCCATAGTCATCCATAGTTCCCAATTTACCAGTCCACAGCAACCCATCCATAGCCCCACGTTCATTTTTTCCATTATTCACAATAGTCCTACACTAACCGGGGACTGTCCTTGGGTGCATTTCCATAGTGCATACAGGGATAGTCGCCGGTTTGTGTGTCCATTACATTTATATTAAAGTTGTCTAAAGGGCCTCTGCGCAGTTGGCTTCGGCCCCTCGTATGCCTCCCAAATGACCGGGACCCTGTGGTCCCGTGAATGGTAAAGACATACATAATAATAATAATAATAAAGCCCGCAGGGCACCTTGAGGCGAGGTGACGGGCATTAGCGATCCCGCGGGCTACCATCATCCCGAGTGCTCCAGGGAGAAGTCACCGTTCCTTCTTCTCCGGCTTGCCTTAATTGGCTGGCTGGAGTGAAAGATGACAAGGAACAGGTCTCCCACCTCTGGCTTGCCTTCATTGGCCGTCCAGAGTGGAGTCGCGAGAGCAGTGAACCTGCTCGGAGGGTAAGAAACTATTCGTAAGTCGCGAGTGGGCCAGGGATGCAGGAGGCTTCGGCTGGAGCAGATGATCTGAGTAGAAAGCGGTGGTAGTTTCTTAACCCTTCAGCCACTCACATTCTCGTTGCCCCTCTGTTGCTATATCTAGCAACCATTCCCGGGGCCCGGTCGGTGAGTTGGCGAGTCTCCGCCTGCCATTTTTACGTGTAAAAATTACATTGTTTCGGCAGGTGTCATAGTCATCCATAGTTCCCAATTTACCAGTCCACAACAACCCATCCATAGCCCTACCTTTTTTTTTCCATTATTCACAATAGTCCTACACTAACCGGGGACTGTCCTTGGGTGCATTTCCATAGTGCATACAGGGATAGTCGCCGGTTTGTGTGTCCATTACATTTATATTAAAGTTGTCTAAAGGGCCTCTGCGCAGTTGGCTTCGGCCCCTCGTACGCCTCCCAAATGACCGGGACCCTGTGGTCCCGTGAATGGTAAAGACATACATAATAATAATAATATGGAAATCATATACAAATTACAGCTAGACTCAGAACTACTAAGTACTTTTACATTTTATAAATATTTGTGTGGAATTATACCCAGCGGCTTGGGTCCCGGCCACTGTGCTAACTGTCTGTTGAATGTTGAATAATTTATTTATTTATTATATTTTTGCCGTGGTCCTCCCACTGTAGGGCAAAGGCCTTTGTTGAATAAAACATTATTTTATTTTTTGACATATTTCAGGTAACCGGTGGAGCAGGATTTGTTGGCTCACACTTGGTAGATGTACTTATGACACAAGGTCATGAAGTGATTGTAGTAGACAATTTCTTTACGGGACGTAAACGCAATGTAGAACATTGGTTCGGTCACCGTAACTTTGAAATGATTCACCATGATATAGTTAATCCACTTTATGTAGAGGTAAAACATTGTTATCATTTAGTGAATAAGTGGATTTTATGATTATTATTGCTCTAATATGTACTGCTTTTGTAGGCAGATGAAATATACCACTTAGCTAGTCCTGCAAGTCCGCCTCATTACATGCAAAATCCAGTTAAGACAATTAAGACTAATACTTTAGGAACAATCAATATGTTAGGTGAGTATGTTGAAATTATAAAATACCAGCGGAATCTTTTTAACCCTAAGAGTGCCCAGTCACTAACCAGTGCCTAATGTTAGTGGAGGTTTGACTATCACTATTTTAAACTTGGCAGTTAAATTGTTAAACATTTTGTTATTTTATAAAAGCAAATGTATTGTTTAAAGCATTGTCATTTTTTTATAAATATTCATGAACTTTTATCAAAAAGGGCTTGCTCTTATCTTGTCCTTATTAGTTACATCCTAGTAACTGCTGTGAATATTGTACAACTAAAATGAGATGAACATTGTAATATGGTCTTAACCTGCTTTATGATTTTGATTATAAAATTGCATTATTAATTTTTCTTTTTTATTAAAATTATTATTTTTTCTTGTATGTATTTAAATTAATAATAATAGAATCATTGGTATTATTAAATTCTAGGTTTAGCACGACGAGTTGGAGCTAAGATACTGATAGCAAGCACATCTGAAGTCTATGGAGACCCCATGGTGCACCCCCAGCCTGAATCTTACTGGGGTCATGTGAATCCCATAGGTCAGTATGGCACATGCTTATTTCGTGATCTATATTTTCATATACAGTTTCATCAAAATCCGTTCAATAGTTTTGCAGTTATTGAGCAACATATTAAACTTTCACATTTATTATGTTAGTAGGATGTGATTTTATTAATTTTGCCGGCGATGTAAAACGAAATACCGTTTGTTTAAACAAAATAACTTATAGCGGGTCAGTACTACGTTATTCTATTATGATCTTTCATACCTCGTAATACAGCTTGTTTTACATAATACCTAATGATTAAGTAATCATTTCGAAGTACTTGAACAAATTAGAAGTGTACTTGTGAAATGATAAAGGATCACAGGACATTTAGTAGATACAATTGTTAATAAATATTTTATTTAGGTTGACTTTACTCTGAAGATGAAACAAAACTGGTAATTAAATTTAAAAGTGATGATTAAATAACTCTGTTTTTAAGTATTCTCTATTTAAAAACATACATAATACACTTGGTAGCAAAAAAATGGAACCACTAGCGTTTTTTCTTTTTCATTTCTTGATAAATATTTTCCACAAATATTTTACTAATTGCATGGTATATAAAATGTTGTTTTTTTAAACCTTTTGCCTTTTGGCAATCAAAATGAGAGCATTTTGTTGTAAAATGTTCTTTTTTTTTAAGTTATAGTTGCTTTGATTCTTTTCTCGCAAGTGTATATTTTTATTATATTACTAGCTTTTACCCGCGGTTTCGCTCGCGTCACAAAAGGATAAAAAGTAGCCCATGTGACATGTACAATGTATATACAATACATACAGCGCCATCTATACCAATACTTTTGTTTTCCCTCGGGAATATCAATTTTTTCAGGATAAAAAGTACCCTATTATTTAATCCAGACTACTAAATTTACGTCTGCAAAAAATCAATGGAATCGGTTTAGTAGTTACGGCGTGAAGGTGGAACAAACAAACAAACTCACTTTCAGATTTTTAATATTAGTAAGGATATACTTAGTAATACAGACATTAGAATATATTTACCTACCACAGGTGTGCACATAATTGTGACAATGACCTCACTGTGTAAATGGTACAATTCTGTGACATTTTCTAGAATTGAACAGATTACGTTAGTTCTTCAAATAATTATGTTAATGAGTTACTCGAATATATTAGTTATTACGTATATTTGCAGACATCTGTTAAGACCTACTTTGTCAAAAGATTTACCTCTATTTTTCTCCTATTTTTATTATTATAGTAATAATCTATCACATTATATACATATGTCACACCTATCTCTGTCCCAAATTCTATCAAAACCTGTTCAGCAGTTTAGGTGTTGTTCGTGACAAACACTTTTATATATCAAGTATCTAGTTAGGATTCCGGTTTTACCGCGATTCTGTGAGTAGGACTTAAGTAAGTTCGTTATAACATAATTATGTACTTTGTAGGTTTGAATAGACATGAGCTAGGATGAAAAATTCATTCAGAATTTTGAAACAAATAGGTGCCTAATGAAGAAGAAAGATACATAATTTTTCCGATACTCATGTTTAAAAATTATTTGAATAGGTAAGGTAGGTAAGATAAATAAAATAGAATATTTTGACTGCGCATAGATAATAAAATTTTAAGTAAGCTTTTGTACTTGTTAATTCGTCTTAAGAAAATACAATATTATCGCAAGCAGGGCAGAATTTCCGCCTCCATACCGATTTTCTGTCACGGAGAACCTAACGGGTTACCGGGGCTCCGGCTCGACGTGCAGGAGAAGGACCGGGATGGTTTTTAGTCAGTAAGAGCCTGACACTCCCCTCCCGCCTGACTCAGGCGGGAGCAGTCATTCGATGATTTTCCGCCCTTAAAAAAATATACCTATTTTCTAAACATGTTTCTCATTGGCCGAATAATAAACCAGTCTCATTGTAGGTACTTGATGTTTGTTATCCATAAGAGCCAATTATAGGTCTGTATATTTAACAGAGATCGGGCAGCAGCGCTCTTTGATGAATATGAGCGTTTAAAGCTGCGATCCCCAACCCGCCAGCAAATCCCTTTTTTGTTGAGGAAACCATAGTCCAGGCTCTGACGAGCTGTTGGTGGGTGGATCACAAAATTGTTCAATCGGGCATTTATTAAAGATAAAATTTGTAACATTTCAGGTCCCCGAGCCTGTTACGACGAGGGCAAGAGAGTTGCGGAGACGTTGGCGTATTCGTACGCGAAACAAGAGAAGGTGTCAGTTAGAGTGGCGCGCATATTCAATACGTATGGACCTCGGATGCACGTGTCTGACGGACGCGTCGTGTCCAACTTTATTATGCAGGCGCTGCAGAATTTAACTATTACTGTAAGTAATTTTGATATTATTGACGGCCTACAGATATTTTTTGAAGGCAAATCCACTGCTAACGAGGCTCATAGATATATAAGAGACCTCTTTTTAAAATGTGTCCCCACACTAGAATTTTCGCCTGTACGTTTCCAAACATACAAATTCATTAGTTTACATGCATATTAGGTACACCCAAAAGCGGTACAAGGTACAACCATTTGTAGATCACGCAAAGAGTCGTTAAAGTTCAGAATCGAACACAATCACTACATGTAAATGTATAGACCTACGGGAGAACTTAAATTGAATATTATTATTATTAGATAGTTGACAGGTACTAAATTAATGTTTATAAACATTGCAGGTATACGGCAACGGGCAGCAGACCCGTTCATTCTGCTACGTATCAGATCTCGTCGATGGACTGCTGGCTCTGATGGCGTCCAGCTACACGTTACCTGTCAACCTCGGGAATCCCGTGGAAAATACTATACAAGGTACAGTAATATGAGTTTTGTTAAGAAGGAGTTAAGGTTCATATGGTAATGATTTATTTTAAAGTTCCAAAGGACTTGTATGCGTAATATGTACATAGTATGGAGTAAAATTGTCGTTCCTACCCACCTGCAGGCCATTCACTTCTGCAATAGAAAAGAGAGGTTGATACAAGTAGAACAGCCCAACATTTATTTTTTTAAATGAAATATAACTATTTTCATAAACAATTATTTCAATATAAAAGGTTATATACTATTAGATTTTGATTTTTATTAGGTAAGTATTAAACAACATTAGATTGAATGATGTAGATTTCACATAGCTTTAATTAGAAACAATTCAAACAATAAAAAAATGATGTATCAACAAAATTCTTCCGTACAAATCACATGAATTATACAAGGCAACAAAAATAGATATTATTAACATTTAAACATTCATTCATTTAATATTCTAATAGGTATGTATAAATAGGTAAGTACATTATGTAGTATTATGAAAAAACACATTGTGCACATTACAGCACTTAATACCTCTGTGCAATGTAACACTAATTTATCACTATTTATGTTATGTATTACTATACTCTATGCCATAGAGTCTATGGGATGAACCTATTGCCATATACCGGGCACAATTCCGGACTCCGTGCGGATTGAGATTTTTATTTAAAACTCAGTAATACTTTGCCCAATCCGAGAATCGAACCCGAGACCCCTTGGCCGGCAGTCGCAATTGCGACCACTCGGCCAACGAGGCAATCAATTGATATACCTAACTAATCAATTCGTGGGGTGCGATTTGGCGGCAATTTTTTCTTTTTATTTAACAACTTATCGATTTTTTCCAATTCATTGAACTTTACTATCGTAAAAGGTGTAAAAGTTACACGGTATACGATAACGCTTATCGCTACATACGCAATTTGTTTATCGCCGCTTACCTACTGCAATTTCTACTTCCTTATAATTAGTAATGCACGTACATAATACTGCAATTATTTCTTTATAACTGCTATGAGAGACTTGTGTTTATCTACTGACTTGATCTTTATTATTGCGAGGGGTAGACAGGTGAGGTGCACATAATTAGGTATGCACTCCCTTATCTTTGATGTTATGATATGAATCCGATGTGATGTGAAGATAGTGGTCAAACGTCAGACCTACCCAATATAAAAAAAACACTGGATGCTACACTAGGTGCAATACCAGACCTACTATGCTAGGAAATAACTGATAACATGTTTAATAGAAAAACCCAATCTTGAAGGAAATTAAAGCCACGAACTCTGGCTTGTCGCGCTTGCAAATGATCGAAACAAATAATACAATAACAATATTTCCCCAAGATCTTGCATTTTTCTGCCTGTATCTATCTTCTATTCATTTACCAAATATTCTTCTCTTTCAGAATTCGCAATGATAATCAAGAATCAAGTGCCAGGCTGCCGGAGTATGGTGGCTAAGAGTGCGCCCGTCGAGGACGACCCGCAGCGACGCCGGCCCGACATCACTGTCGCTAAGCAACATTTACATTGGGAACCAAAAGTGAGTCAACCATCATTTGTTATTTTTTAAGTACTTCTATGCCAAAAACCTTTGCCCTGCAGAGGGCCGATCATGACTGAAAATAAATAATTAGTAATGGCAAAAACCACATATTAGCTACTTATAGATAATCACAGCTATTTTTTGTAGATTTACCTTTTAAGAACCATAATTTTCTTGGATAAACCACAATTTCAATATTAATGAAACGAGATTTATTGCTATGCTTTTCTCGCCATACCATATTTGTTTAGGACCATTTTCTCAATACCCATTGTATTTAATTGTGTTTATTCTAGGTGTCATTACAAGATGGCCTGCAGAGGACCATAGATTATTTCAAGGAAGAGTTATCAAGAACAACATTCTACAACAATCAGACCTACATGGACATGAAAAGTCATAATTAATTAAGTTACTAAATCTGTTTATATGTGATATTTGGGTGCCTGTGTGCAGGAGTGTGTGAATAACAATAAGTATTCGTAAAACTAATTATTCTAACTTTTTGTTGTTTATCACACAACAATTACATGGTTACATGGTTACCCTTAAATGACAAAAATGTGTTGTATAAGTTTAATTTATATTCATTTGTTTAGTTAAAATAAAAATGCACATCTAGTAATGTTTACAAAAGTTTTATTTTCATTGGAAATAGGTCATGCTCATTAAAAATAATTACTTAAAGTAATTATTACAGTGATTTACACAAATATCTTTAAAGGATGTCTTTAAAGGAAACAGGTCCAAGATTAATATCTACACACATTCTATATATAATTTCACACAATTTTCTACAATATGACTAACATTCCACAGTAAACAAATACTGTATAATATAATTTGATCACTATCGAGCCTTAAATAATGACTGACTTGACAAAATGAACTATAGAGCCAATTCTACAGTTATCTAGCATTCTAGCAGATTCTACAACACTTAAGTTACACTACTTACAGCACATGCTTGGTAGCACATCCCATTTATAAAGATAAGATTTCCTTAATATAGTTTCAGTCTTGCAAAGTTTCTGTCCGTGTGAATGTACCAATGTTTTGTACAGTTGGAACATGTCCGCAGGTGCCTGTTTGTGTCGAACTAACATTTGTGTGGAGCAGCCTCTGGTTTTCCATTCAGTGTCAAATCTGACATCATGGACTCTGTTCATACCATCTAAAGAGGCTGTCCACACTCCCATGGAAACATCCTCGGAATTATAATGTCTATAACAAAAAAGTTGAATTGAATAAGTTCCTATGGTTATTATGAAGTAATTATTTTGTGTATAACACAATCCAATTCCCAGTATATTCTTTCAAACATTTTTAGTTCTGACTAACAACAATCACAGCCAATCAAAAATGTTCTATTAATTGATTGAACTGAGTCAGTCAAGTGTCAATTACTCGCACAATACATGCATCAATTGATTTTAATTTAGGTCTATTAAATGTAGGTAAAAGCTCACCCTAATATGTCAGCATTCCTTCCAACGAAGTCTACAATACTACGAGATATGACATAGCCACCACCTAATGCGTAAGGTAGGTAGTTGTCACACAGGAACCAATCCTTCTCTTGCCATTTTCCATTCAAATAAACTCGTGCTCGGCCATCGAAATATCCCCAATACAAGCCTTTGTATGAAGGTAGATCTTTCTGAAATTATGTCAACAATTTTTGTTATTTTTTCTATGGAATAAAGGTTGTTTTTGCATGATTTAAAAAAAAAACACTTATTTAGTTGTCAATATTATTATCGTAAGCAAATTAAATGAGTCAGAAGTGTTTTACAACACCATAGTAAACATAAAAGAATTTTGTTACTGATGATCAAATATACCTTATACGTTACATATTCACTTATTTCATGAGCATTCATCTCGGGTGCATAAGCTTCTAGATCTTTTATTATCAAATCAACTCTTACAAAGGAGTCATCATCACACTTTATCAAATATTTTAATCCACTTAAATTAGTAGTCAGCCACTTTAATGAATGTAACATTTTTATAGCTAGGTTCTTATAACTATCTTCAAAGCTGTCTAATAATAAGAGGTCATTGCTTCTGTTATTTTCAGTATGTAACCTTGTCAGCTTCGTTTCACTCAAACCTTGAGTGCCAATTACGAAGTAGAACTTTATGAATTCATGTGGCACATGATGCTCAGTCCATGTATGGTTCCACTTGTATAGTTTCTCTCCATTCTCCACAAATATATTATTTGAGAACTTCATCCAAGTGGCTCTTATAGCATCTCTCTTGGCTTCATTGTTAGGTCCACTTAAAACTAGTACTGCATATTCAATTTTACCTAAACTATACTTAGTATCGCTCAAATCTTTGGTAGTGTGAGCATCAGCACATTCAAGGCGCAGAGAGTTTAGTGTTATTCCACAACCAAGGTAGAAAAAGAATATACTAGCGAGTATCATACTTTTGTATCTTAGTAACAATGACACGTACATTTTCTGAACACAATCTTTACAATTTAATTCTTCGTTTTAATTCAACGCACGATGATATTATTTCATAAATGCCTATGCCTACATGTTCTCAGAGATAATTCATCACCACTATGACTCCTATGACTCATTTGTTTGACCAGGCACTCCTAGAACAACGGCCGCTCTATTTATATGTATAGACTACATTTACACTTTATTTATTTAACCAACATCTTAAGACACAGAAACAAACACTTTCGACTTTTCGAGTTTCGTTTTGGTTTTGTTGAAGAATTTGAAGTACAATACTATAATGTCAAGACTGAAGTCTGTCAACGTCAAACCAAAGTATTCAACTTCATACTAAACGAATAAAGCTTAGAGTTCACTTGTGACAGAGACCCAGAAACCCACAATCTAAAGTTGCTAACTATACAAAAATATGCACATGTACTACGAATATCTGGACTCCGGTCCGGACTGCAGACGTAACTTGACACTTGACTAAGCGAATTTATTATGATATTTTAAACTATTATTTACTTTTATGTGTACCCTTTTGCTATCTACGAATAAAAGTTCTTTCGAAAATTATGGAATATTATAAAATTCGTAGTCATATAGTTGCACGAAAGTACGCTTTATTATCGTTATACAAAATAATTATTTTGATTGGAGATCTAAACGTGCCTACTACTCTTATAATATTATCATACTCTATAGAATATCAGTACAGTTTTTAGTTTGACAACCGTTATTTCATGTCACTGTCAACTTCTATATTTGCTGTCATATGTACGTCAAATAAAATTGACGTTACGTGCGTGGTTCATTCATTCATATATTTTTATCAGTAAAAAATTAGCGGTGGACGTGTACGGTGCGGTTTTTGAAATGACACAATAATAAAATTGTACGTGCCATATTCAAAAGTGAATTGGTTGAATATAGTTGTTTTTAGTTATTTACTTACATGAATATCTACACAGCATTGCTGTAATACTTATTAAAACCAGTGATTTAAAATTCGTATATACATCGACGGGTTTTAAGAAGATATTACATGTTGTGTGGGTATAAAACAAATAATAAGTAGGTAGTGCACATTTTCAATTAGCTGTGTAACCGTGTCGGAGTGTAGTTGTGTGCCGGTGCAGTGCACAGGTCATGCGTGTGCTCGTCTCGTAAGGTTACAAAACCATACCGGCTGTCTAAGACCGCTACGGTGAGTGTTTATACTATTTATAGCTTCCCATGAACCACTTCTAGTTAAAAACTTGTGTTACAGTACTAAAGCAACCCTATATCATTTTACTTCTTTTTCCAAGATTTTATTTCTGTTATTGTTTAGTTATTTACCTATCACTTCAATATTTATAACTATAAATAATACCAACATTCCTTTCTGTAAAAATTCTTAACATTCATCTAGAACTAATTTTATTCTGATTTTTTCAGGTAATTCCTCAATCATGGAGGCATTAGATAAAAAAAGTCGTCCTGCACATCCTAGGGCTAAGGCAAATCCATTGTCTGCCCTAACATTCGCGTAAGTTAATATTTAACATAACATGTATTACCTTCTTTTTTTAAAAATAAAGAACTAAATTATTTATTTTTTAAAACAAAATTCGTTAAATCTTACGTTTATCTAGTAGGTACCTACCAATGAAAAATAATGACTATTCACTTAAGTAAAAATACCACATGGAACTGAATCCTGCAATTCAATAAAGATTTATCTTTTGCTTAGTTATAAAAAAAAAAACTGAGCCCTCTACACAAAGTCAGGGCCATGTGCAATTCTATTGTGTTTGAAAAAGTAGCTGAGGCCTTTAACTATACCTTAGGTTTTTTAACCTTAATCACAAGCTAGAAGTTAAAAAAAAAACATTGATTAAATAGTGACTAAGTTGCCAGATAATAATGTAAAACAGTCATTACAATAATTTAACATTAACTATCTAGATAGTTTTATACATAACTAATTTAATTTTGAATATCCAGATGGACATTACCAATTTTTTGGAGTGGTATCAAAAGGGAGATGGAAGAACATGACTTGTATGAACCTTTAGCAGAACACTCATCTGGTAAGTTGATAAAGTTATTTATTAATATATAAGTACACAAAATAATAAAACACCATAGAGCTTCAATCTATTTATTAGCATTCAATTTTTTTTTGCGTTGTCCCACACTACTATTATCTCCTGTGTCGTTGGTGCGTTTACAAACATACAAGTTCACATACACATGACACCCAGACCCGGAACAACAATCTGTGGATCACACCGACAGTTGTTCCGTGCGAGAATCGAACCCGCGACACGTTGCGCGGCAGTCAGTTACCCAACCACCGCGCCAACCGAATCATCAAGGAATTAAAACATGTAAAACCTTTTGGACCAAGCAATATGGCCAGTGTATGAGTTAGAGTTAAAAATATATGATAACTACCTACTACTACTCGTTTTCCGTCTATTAAATTAAATATTTAGACACAGAGGGGAAAAGTTTAGACACAGAAATCTACTATACTTACCTACCTACTTAAATGCTTCACTAACTCTGAATTAATTTAAATGATCAGAATATTATAACAATAGTTCATTGTACTTTTAAAGTGATTGTAATATCAAATTCAAATGTTTTATCTTGTTTTTCAGTACTTCATTTAAATTTATAATTACTGAAAACCGATTCCCGTAATTTTTCTAACACCTCTATTTTTTATCGTAATTTACGGGTGCAGTAACTGGCTGATTAATTTTTATTCGTCAAGAATACGTATACCTATAATACCTACTTCATTGCTCTGCTAGGTATACATATGTAGTTTCTGAAGCTATCGATATCTAACAAACGATCGTATAGACAACGAAACCTGATCTTTATTAGAACTCCTGATGTAGATTTGGTATTCATGCAATGGCATTAGTTATTGCACCATATTACATAACAAAACACATGTCATGTTTTCCGAAACACATGATTTTCATTGCTAAACGAATAGGTCACAATGCGAATAAAAATCACGACGTTACCGTTACATTAAGAATAAAAAAAAAGATTTGTATTTGCCGACCTATTCTATTTTCAAATAAAACTTGTAATAAAAAAAGTATTAGCAGAAAGTAGGATGTGTTTAAACATTTGTCGCATGCGTAATTCGCACGTGACGAAGCTGACCCGCCGCATACCATTGAGTAATGTGAATATGTGAACGACAGCTGATCATACCCACCACGTAGCTTTGCTCTGATCGTTTCAAGACACGCGATACGTGTAGTGTAAAGTCATTCATTGATGTAGCATCGATTCCTCCATGTTGAGACACGACATAACATTGTATTTCCGTGCCAAAGAGCAATAAAGACTAAGACTTATCTTGGAATAATTTTCTATTAGCTTTTTGCAACCTTTTTTGGTGGGAAAATATGTTTTCCTGAGTTTCTAACTGCGTCTAATGAACTTTCTAGACTCTTAATCTACGGACTACGGAATCTTTTTGTTGAAACAGTATTTATCAAGAAGCTCCTCTCTATTTTACTGAAAGTAAATAACTTGTAAAAAAATGACTACCTGTTGCATTGACCACTTCTCTTTCCGAAATAACAGGCATAATAATAACGTAGAATTCGCTATTGTAATTCGCATTTGAATCATGAAAGTTAATAGTAACCCTAAGATCTTTAAAACCCTTGCTAATTAACAGTTTAGTAGATATTGATATAGTCCCTAAAACTCTGAAATAGTGAGATAAAGATGTACATCTATGAGATAACAGATGTGCATCAGCAAGTGACACTGATTAATCTAAATACTGGATAGACTAGAAAGAATGACCTTCAAAAACGTAACTGAATTGCTAAATGAATGTTAACTGCAAATTTTTACTAATTCAAAAGAACTAGTTTTTAATTCGCCGTTGACTAATAGTGTACCTATACATATAGTTACCATTCTTAACGACTTTTCCATTGTTTGTCTTATGCAAATGAAGTGGTATGCGATATTCTTGATACAGATGTCATTCTAGGTAGTTTCAACGACCAGTTTTATCTATCTACCTACAGTTTAATGTGAGAAATGTTACATCACATGTGTTTCTTTCAAGTAAATTCGTTTTGAAAAAAAGTTACACTCAATAGACAAAGCAAGACACAATTCTAGTCTGTGCTAACAACTCTAAATGTAGAAGTCCCTCTTTATCCTACCCAAGATTGTAAGTAATCCAAGACTCCATGAAAAGAGTCTTAGATAAAAACCTTCTTGCTTCCTATAAATAGATAGCATGACTTGAATAATAAACCGTTCTTAGAATCCGACTGCCTCATTGGCCGAGTGGTCGCAAGTGCGACTGCCGGGCAAGGGGTCTCGGGTTCGATTCCCGGGTCGGGCAAAGTATTACTGGGGTTTTTTAAAAATCTCAGTATTAGCACGGAGTCTGGAAATGTGCCCGGTATATGGCAATAGGCTCACCCCCTATTACATGGGACTCATAACATAAATAGTGAAAAGTGGGTGTTACTTCTATGTGCACCTCTGCCTACCCCTTCGGGGATAAAAGGCGTGATGTTATGTTGTATGTTATGTTCTTAGAATCCGAAGAGTCAAGTTCACACTAAGTTAAATATTTCAATGAACTTGAAATAAAAACGAGCCGTCGATTGGAGGCCAAGATAACGAGATCATTGACATTATGCACTTAAATCAAAGTTCGACTTTAATAATGTAACAACAATGAGACGATACCTACATTATTTAAATAAGTATGTCGTCAATTATAATTTTCGTAATAGTTAGTTTATAGATATACGTATGTTATGTATAAATTGTTTCATTAATTATTATTATTCGGTACATTATTAAATTCATATACATATATACAAATTCAAATACATATACAATATTAAATTCGGTAATAACGTAATTTGTTTCCCACTATTTAAAATTAATATTATAATAATGAACTTTGAACGTGTGACATAATAGTTACGTATTTATACATAGGTTTAAATAAATACATGATTTTCCTGTCCCCACTGAAATAGACTTAAAATTAACGTTCAAATTAAAGCAATCTGAATGTGACTATTTGCGTAGTTACTTACACTATATTTAGGTAGAACATGTACCTACATATAAACGAGTTTATAGTTTACATATGGATTATCAATTTTAAGTGTGGTAGAGCCATGCTTCGGCACGAAAGGGCCGGCTCGACCGGAGTGATGGCCACGGCCTCACAGAAAACCGACGTGAAACAACGCTTGCGTTGTGGTTCGTCGTGTGAGCGAGGTTACTGCAGGATTACATACCTCCCGCTTTCCCGAATCTCCCCAATATCTGAATCCTCGACAATCCTCAAATTCCTAATCCCCAAAAGGCCAGTAACACACTTGTAACGCCTCTGGTGTTCCTGGTCTCCATGGGCGGCACCGATTGCTTACCATCAGGTGATCCGTCTGCTCGTTTACCGGCTTAGCAGATAAAAAAACAATTTAGCTCTGTTGTCACACTTTAATCTTACGCAAACGAGGACTTAAAAACCAAATAAAGTGCCTACGAATTTAGTACTAATGTAGATTTAGCAGGAGGTAGCAATAATTATTAAGAAGAATTGCATCTACAATATGACTAGCCATTTCTTTTAATTTTAAAAGATCCATGTTATTTTAAGCTATACAAAGTTAAGACATATCTGGTAAAAAAATGGTTTTAAAATATTTGGTGGTGAGGAAGGTGTAATTTTATATAATTACACCACTTAATCCTATCAATCATGAAGGATTGTAAAATCTAAATTTATATAATTTGTTACTAAACAAATGTACTGTCGACGATTATAAGGCGCAAATCAAACCCTACAGTGACTCAGGTCAATGAATAAAGAGCAAAGTCTACCAAGTCTATGGCCAATAGTAAGCCTTTGATTTTATCCTATTGAGTAATGTGCTCCAGCGGCTTGTGTAACTCATGTTGCAATTTAAATGATGATACTTATCGAAGTGCGCGTGTAATGCAACAAGAAAACTTTGTCCTCAATCATTTATATGTTTGAGGTACATCTTTATAGCTTGTTGATTTTGGAAGGTAATCGCACTATCGTACAAGGCCGGCTTACCTGGGAATCGAAATATTCCGAAGGTTGAACGTAAAATATTGGGATCCAAGGTCAAGAAACCCTTTGAGGTTTTATAATCTCGGAATAAGTCACATGTTTTTGTAAACTGTTGTATGTAATCAAAGAAAGATACTGATGCGTAAGAATGCTAGTTTGGTCAGTGCAGGCATACGGTATGCATTTAGAACCATAATTTCTGGGCATATATGTAAGTTCACAATTAGAACGTTTATGAATCCCAAGATTGCAGTTGCTATAACTCGAAAGTCAAAGTTAAAATCATTTATTTCAATTAGACCAGCAAGGCACTTTTGACGTCAACAACAAAAATTTAAAAGGGAAGCTAGTTGCTCATTCCAAGATGTAGATTCCTATGGAGAAGAACGAGCAAGAAACTCCATAGGTTACTCTTTTTCAATCGGGTTTACAATACAATTCTCTAGTTATATAGTTTTGGTTGGTTCGATTGTGTGAGACCAATGCAATAAATCCAGTCAAAAAGATTGAAAAAGAAAATAACCTTGACAATAAAATCATACAGTCTGGAGCTGACCAGTTCCAATTGTACTTCGCTAGAAAAGCCACATTAACTTTGTATTTCTTTTGCCAGGACCTCTTGGAGATAAATTTGCGCGACTATGGGAAGAAGAAGTACAACGAGCTAGCGGGAAACGGAAACCCAGTCTGTTACGTGTTATATTAAGAGCATACGCCGCCAGGTGTATGCTGTATGGATTCGTTCTACTCGTCATGGAATGTGGAATAAGGTAAGCGCAACTTCATTAAAACTTCAGGTCCTTAAATGCTGTTATTTGGTTTAATTAATAACTAACCTGAGGTTGTTGGTGCAAAAATATTCATTTTTCGGACGTTGCGTATTGTATCTACAATTACATTACATACAGTATTGGTTTAATGTTTTATATTACTTGCATATTTGATCACCAGTTATCAGTATAAGCCATTTAAGGCTTACTGTTGTAGCCTTGGAAAGTAGGATCGATTTAAGCGCGCGTCTGCCGATGACCTCGTGTATCTTTGCTAGAAAATACACGGTTTTTGCAATCTCCTAATTTTAATAAAAACTTGTTAAGTTATGTCGAAGAATACGTTCGTTCATTGCACTTTTTAACAAGAGTAACAAGTACTATGTACAAAAATAAGATGTTGAAATAGGGTTCGTAAAAAGTTGCCGTAAAGCTCATTTAAACCTCTTTATTTTCTCCAATAAAATTAACCGTCACTTCATTAAACAAGTAAAAAGTTGAACTGTCTAATAATATTATAATTCGTGGTAACTACAATTCTCCGAACGCTTCCTATTCCGTCAATAATTTGTTCCGACTCCGACACGCAGTGAATAAGTGTAGTCAAGGACATAATGAAATTGTATAAAAATAAAATGACCGCGTAATATTTGCGTACTCTATAAATAGTACAATAATGTTGTATTGCAGAGTCGTAGTACTTGTGGGTTGTGGGTAGTACGCCAGTTAGGAGGAAATATTGATTAGATAACACCCGCGATCAATATTCAACGTTTTGTGGCCAAATTACTTATTTGGCTTTGTGATCTGACCGATTGACATGAAGATGCCAATCTTTCACTTACTCACATTTTGTATAAACGTAACTATTTTGACAAAACCTTAATTTGCTGCATTATTTTCGCAATACATTAATGAATGCATGTTGTTGCGTACCTAATAATAATCTAAAAGATATCTATTAACACACGACATAGAATTGTATTCTACAATCACTACTCAGAAAGTAAGAACATGAAAGTTAAAACTCATCATTATTTATAACTTTTATAAGGATGTACTTGGATCTGAGGACCTTTGACTTGAAGGACTGCAACTACAGTTACTTGCGGTTTGTAGGCCTTACGACATACAATTATATTTATAGTTTAGGTACATATCTATTACGGTTTGGTTAGACAAGGGTCATGTCTGTCGTTTACCGTTTAAACCTCAAGCTGTGCTTATAAAACAGCTGTGTGACGCCTGTATTTGTGCGGCCCGCCGGACTGATAACACAATTCATTTAATTTGTCAAGGTTTTAAGCGATATCCATATTATCGTAAGGCGGATACTACCCGAACTGTCCTCAACTTGAATTTGAGGAATACCGGGAGCTGGAACTCTTGAACACTACTTTGGCATGTTGACATTAATATGCCAATTCTTGCCCCGATTTTTCTAAGGATTTCAAGTGATTATTTGAGAACTTTGCTTTTAGTTTTCAAATTACATAATAGGTAGTCAGAGTTATACATTTTGCATTGAGAATAAAAGACAGCTTGTAATAAATTGTTTTTTTTTAAAACAAAACACCCGTCTAACAAAACAATGTGTTTGCAAACTTGTTTGATACGTTTGTTACCTAGTCATCTTAGACACAACTATCTAATGACTACTTGACGTCCCGCAAAAATACCGCCATTACAAAATCCTGCTTTTCAAATTCTGTATCTTTATGGAAATTTCATTTATTCTGGAGAAGTTTGTCTGAGATGCACAATGGCTTCAGCCGTCAGGTTACCTGTCACCAGGTAGTAAGCATGGAGGCTTTGTACCGTGGATGACAATGCTCTTACAAAGCTGCGGATTACAGGTACCTTATCATTGTGTGCGGTAACCGTCAAGGACGACCGGTCCATTATACGGTGCGGTTTTTGCAGACGGCAGTATCATCTGTAATTCTGTACTGATTTTTGCTATAGCTATGATTTTAAAATCTTTCTCCAAAACATTACTTATTTTTCTCTTAATAGATTATTTCTGAACCACTTTCCACCACGTCTTAATTTTCTTTATCGTGATTTTTCTTGGTTACCTTGAAATCCAAACCTACGGTTATCCAGATTTTTCTACGGTATGCTCAAGACTAGGTAGATACTTATTTAATTAACTATTGCCCATGAGGCATACTTGCATTCATAAAGAGTACTTCAGCAAGTATACTCGATCGAAAATGTGCTAATTAAGTGCGACGTTTGTTAGTCCAATAAATGAAGTACTACTAAAAATTGCTGATTTAGTATTTGATTTGGCACTCAAAAATATTGATACTCACAGTGATAGTATCCATAAACGTGAGTCATAGAGTAAATAAAAATTGCGTCTAGTCATGAAACTATAACTCGTCATAGTTGTACTAAATATCACGTGCGTGAACAATAACAATACATAATATTATGCACAATTATTGCTGAATTTGTTTATATTAAACGGTGATTAACATTATGAATCAACTGTTTTTGTGCAATAATTATAATTAGTAATGTTCTAAGATAAATAAGGTGAAAAGAGTGTGAGTGCGTTGACACTAAAACTATTTCGATATCTGGCTTTAGTAGACCTTATGATGTTTTATTTAAGTATTATTTTGTTATATACCCAAATTGGATCAAACCTACTTTTTGGTTATAAGGGCAACGGGCGGACGCAATGATTAATTTTCAAAAGTCTCAAAAGTAGGACCTAAAGAAATAGTGTTGGAAACAAGTTTACATAATAAGAGTTTAAAGCGTATCTGGAAAAAGTTACGCTTTAAATTATAAATTCCTATAATTATCGTTGAGTAACATTCCAATTTTATGAATATCGGAATTGGAAGACTATTAAATCTCGATTTAGAATCAAAACGACTAATTCATTAAAACTATTGTCACTCAGAACTAAAATTTGTACATGTACGACTATCCTACATCCAGTTTGTTCCGGCACACTGTACACCGGAATAGGGAGTGCTCTGTCAATAACTATGTGATCTGATTTACCGATTTGTATTTGGTAAACACTACCCCTGTATTAACTACCCGGAGAATTGAAAAAAGAACTCATTTGCTTGCTAATGGAATATTCTATCCATGTCCAAGGGTAAACGAAATCGAAAACGAATGATATTTACTACCTTGCCCGGAGTTATTAAACCCTTTCTGGCGATGGTAGAAATGGTCAGATACTCACCTCAATAGATTGCTGCAACGGTTAACTTATTACTTGTGCTTATAATACTGTAATTAGTTGATAAGAACTTTCACAGTAACATTTTCCTCTTCACCTCAAAAAAGGAGGAAAAATTAGGAATTTCGATTCGATTTCTAATCTAAATTTTTTCTCTTGAGCCAAAAGTGTACTTACATCTATTATTTATGTATTTGTTACATTATCAACTATCTTTTCAATGATAACTATATAAGTGGGATAATACTCAAAGTGTGCCTGTTTATAGTTTTTGCATTGTCACGCAATGTACTGATGGACTTAAATTACTCATAAACATTACCAAATAGGTAAGTTCACCTATTCGTGTCCACGCACCAGCTCGCGTCCATGTTACGGAATGTTCTTTAAATGTTCCTGAAAAAAAATCTACCACCATATTATTAGTTAGTACACATCTGTTACACGTTTTCTGTGTCTTACATTCATTAGGATCGCGAACAGGTCAATTTACTCTATATCGGTATTTATTTGGGAAAGTTATTTCCCAAATCAGTAATCATCATTAATCAGTTCGCACTGGAATTTTCTATTGTCGATTGATTTTCCTGGAAATAAAATAAAGATCATGTTACATTATTATAAATAGTTTGCGGTTTTATCCACATGCTGAATGATGGAGTTATTCCCAAATTTCCCAATGTACATTTATATTATGATAGTACGGATTACAGAAATCCTTTTGTTTTCTTCAAAGCGGACTAGTTTGTTCAATAAAATGTTCTAGAAATAACACGTTGAGAATGTCAAACTAAGTCTCCAGAATCGATAGTCTGTCTCTCCTGTCCTGAAGTTTGATTTACGGAAAGTCACTCAAAAATATCGTGACATACTTATTAATTTCTTTCGGTCATATGAATCGTCATGAACACGTGGTAATAAATTAACATGTTTGGTGCGTAACGTATAAAATGACTAGGATATTTTATAGGTGTACAAATTCATTGATCATATCTAGTCACGAGATTTTTAATTAAATTGAAACTTCACTACCCCGCGGCCCGCTCCATCCGTTTAGGAATTAATGATAGATTGACATGCGTATAAGATAATAATCATCATAATATCATAATATTCTTACGCGAGCCCTCTGAAACTTGTAAGCAATAATTCCGCTTCTCTGTGGTTTGTAGAGATGCTTAAAAATTAACTCCTACCTAAAAACCAACCTCAGCAAGCATTAAGGTACTTTTATACATGCTAACTTCAAGCAAGAAAGTATGCTTCAATTGAGCACTTGTCACTTAATAATATCATGTGTGTCGGAACGTTGTTCAAAATTAGCATGCTCATTTCAGGCATGTTACGAATCGAAAGGAGTTCGATTTTTGAACATTTTTGAGCATGGCTTCCTGCATACTATTTTAGAGCATGTGTAACAGCCCTTTAACTGGTACTTACAATTACAATGTACAATTTAAATCATCGTGACTATTGTAGCGTTTTGAGTGATATTGACATTGAGTATGTCATAGATTACTACCGTATTAGAAATACCCACTTATGTACCGTCCAACTGTTATTTCAAGGTCCACTCTACAGTCTATGGTTACGTACTCGGTCGCCACGGTGACGTATAAAGTCAACAATCGTTGTGCTAAGTCATTCTTTCATTCTTCTTATTTTTTTATAAGTTCACACTTTTCGAAGGTAATTTGGGAATACCTAAATAACGTAGGTGTTATCGATTAAGTTTTGACGAACGGACGCGTCGAGTTGAGTTTTTTTTAATCTGCAGGATACAATCTGG